CCTCTTTGGATTTGTTGATACATTAAAGGTTTTAAAACGAGGGGTTTCTCTTTTTATCACTCCATAAATCACAATGGCATAAAAAATAAAATAGGTAATTGTGACTCTTCATATCACAATTCAGACATTTGTCTCTCAGTTCTGTGTTTATATCTCACAGTTATGAGAAGAAAAGTCAGAACTGCAAGATGCAAACTGAATTGCAAGATTTAAAATCAGAATCGTGAAATATGTAAACTTGCAACTGAGAGGAAAAAAAGTCGCAATTACCTTTTTTATTTCTTATTCCGTGGCAGAAACAAAAATATAGAATTGCAAGAAAAAGTAGAAATTCTGAGTTTATTTCTTGCAATTCTGAAGCTTTTTTTCTCCGAATTCTGAGTTTATATCTAGCAAGTGCTTGTATCTTTTTTTTTTTTTTGCGAGAATTTAGGAAAAAGTCGCAATTGCCTTTATTTTTATTCTGTGGCAGAAAACAAGCTTCCACAGAAACTACAGTAAACAGACAGAAAACCAACACATTTTCACCATGTTTTTAGGAATAAAATGTTGTATAAATCAGTGTGTGAAATCCGAGCAAACCTTCAGAATATAAAAAAGCTACCAAATTTTGCATTACATGTCATTAATGAACTGCTTTGTACATTTCCGCCATATGGACATCAACTTGAGATATGCTCCACTGATGAGCTACTACTAAATATGTAGACACTTTAATTTTCTGTAAAGCTGCTTTGCAACGATTTGCATCGTGAAAAGCGCTATACAAATCAACTTGCATTGGATTGGTGCTTCTGATCACTGAGTAAAGTCACTAGCAGCACTAGCACTGGTGATTGAGGAGTTAAACCACTCTAAATATTTGTAGAATGTGAAATCTCCTGCAGAAACATCTTCCATAATCAGTCAGAGCAGGACGTTTCGAGACTCTTTCATCATGTTCCACACGCAGAATCTCTCTGTCATTGTGAGTGAATGTAAGTGCTGTTCACATTTGCACACACACGTGTTTTTAGTTCATCCAGACCTCCGACTGCAGCTTCTGTTCCCACTTTCAGTTTCCTGCTTTTAAAGCACAAATACCGGCTGTGTTCCGAAACTCCAGTGCATACTGCTTTTAAATAGTAGTACAGTATGTTCAAAACAAGTGCTTAGCAGGGATAGTTCACCCAAAAAACTTAAATCTGTCATTAGTCCTTTGTTGTTCTTCATACAGTGAAAGTCAATGGGGTTCAGTATTTGGATCCCAACATTCTTCAAAATATCTTCTTTTATGTTCTACAAAAGAAAGAAAGTCATACAAGTTTTGAACGACGTGAATGGGAATAAGTGATAGAATGATGGTTTTGAGTGAAACATTAATTCAGTACGTGTTGTACGGTCATCATAAAAATGGTCATTTAGGATTTTTAATCTAGTTCTGTGTAAGAATCAGTGTGGTTTTAGGATCTTTGAGATGCTGTTAATAGTTTTTTATTCATATTTTGAATGTTTTTAATTTAATTTCAGTTATTTTGTTTTATTTTTAATGTCTACATAGTTATTTTTATTATGAGAAACGTTGCCTTGACAACTAGCTGAAATAAAATAAGTTTAAGATTTTTTATTTTTATTTTATCCAGTTAATGCATATTTTATTTCAAGTAATAGTTTTTTTTTTTTTGTTGTTCAGTATAATATACCTGGTAATAATGAAGTATGGACCAGGGTTATTATAGTTAACTAAAGCTGAAAATTAATTAAAACCAATTTTAAAAATTATCTGAAATAAACTTAAGTGAAATATAATAAAACACCTTATACTTATTTTAAATGTAATATATGTTATAATGTAATAACTATATAGACGTATATATATAAAACAAAATAATAATGACAAAAACACAAAATGACAAATAATGACACAACTAATAATAATGCTAAAATAATAGTTTTAATTACAATTAAAATGAAAATGCAAAATAAAAAGGATAAATATAAAAATTAGAAAATTCTAAATTAGTATCTGCATGATAGTAAAATCAGCAGGACTGATAGGGCTTTCTAGATATGTCATGTCAAGCACATTGCATTGTGGGATAGTGTGCTGCATATTTGGGCAAGTGCAGCAGGACAGTTTGCATGCTGTGCATTCTGCAGAAACAGGAGTGTGCTAGTCTGAGCAGTGACACTGTATCCTCCATGTTCAGTTTGTCTTGATCAGCAGATTTTGGGGATATACTGTGGCTTTACTCTGCTCTGCCGCACACAAACGAGAGCAGCAGCTACCAGGTCTGTGGTAATGATCTGCTGTGTGGTTTGTGTTTGTCAGATCTATCTTCAGCCACAGAAGCACACCCACATGATGACGGTCATGCTTCGGCACTCGCTGCAGATCAGCATGCGTCTTTCTCAGCAAAGCTGCACTTTCTAGAGGAGTTCACAGCGCAGACGACTCCTGGCTCTGTTACTATCGAGGGGACGAGGTGACGAGCAGCACTTTCTCCAAGTCATGTCACACACCCCGTAAAATATGTTGAGAGATCTGGATGTCATCCAGAAACATGGGACCCTGGAGCACAAAACCAGTCATAAGGGTCTGAATAAATAAGCTTTCCATTGATGTATGGTTTGTTAGGATAGGACAATATTTGGCTGAGATACA